CACTTAGGGAAAGGATACTGTAAGAAATTGGTATGCACACCATCTAGACTCGGTTACGGAGATAGGACTTGTAACAATTTTATGGGACTTTACAATACATACAGACAGAACAATCAATGCTAATCGTCCAGACATCGTGATTAAAGACCGCAAAAACAAAATGTGCCTTCTTATTGATATGGCAGTCCCTGCAGATTGTAATGTATCTTTGAAGATCTTCAAAAAAATATCAAAATACAAGGACCTTTTTTTCGAAATCTCAAAAAAATGTGGCACATGAATGATCAATAATCCCAGTTGTAGTTGGAGCCCTCGGATTGATTGGAAAAGATTCCAATAGACTCATTGAAAAAGGATTTTTTTTCTGGAAGTCCATGCCTTAAAGAAAAAAAAAAAAAAATTGTTCTCACAAGTACAGCTCACACCTTACGAAGGGCTTTATCTATGTAAATATGTGAATTATTTTTTTTTTTTTTTTTTAAAATGTGGAAAAATGTCATGATGCCATTTCTGACCTTAGGTCTCTGGTTGGGACCCGAAAATTTTTAATGAGTAAACAAAAAATCAAAATAAATAATAATAATTTATATAATATTCTTATATATATAATAAAAATAATGGTCCTAAAAGCTTTTTAGATATGTAAAAATTGACCATAATTTTTTGTTTTTAAAATATGATATAAATGGTATCATATTTTGATGAAAATCTTAATTTTCTAAAAAGGAAATATGTTTGATCCTATCAAAAAATTATGCATGTTAATAATTGTTTATGAATCATAGAAATATTTGTAATTAAAATATTTTCTATCATGTTTTTATTAATATAATAATAATATAATTATAACATGACATTCCAAAGAAAATAAAAAAAAATACCTGAAATATAAGAATTCATTCCAAAAAAGAAAGATAAACAAAACAATAAATAAACCATGAAAAAATTTTAAATAGAAAATTGGAAACTTTGTTCAATTTCTGGGAAAAAATAATTTTTAATTTTGCACGAATAGGCAATTTATTGCGTCTTTTTTAAATAAACTTGACAGATTTTGAAGAATCGGAAAAACAAAATGATGATCAAAATATAAATTTTAATAGAAAAATAATAAAAAATTATTTGTACATAATAAAAAAAAACCAAAAAACTGAAAAATGGTTACTTGAACTAAAATTCCTGCATGGACTAAAATAGTTTTTCTTTCTAAAAAAATTTTTATTATTCCGAAAAAATATAAAATTAAATGAAAATTTTTATATAAACTGTATATATTTAACATATATTTCTAATCAAAAATATATATAAATTGAAAACTTTAATTGAAAAATGACAATTAATTAATTAAAAAAAAACTGAAATGTTAAAAATTAGTGATATAGAAATTTTAAAGCAATCGATAATCAATCAAGATCTTAAATAACCAAGTAAAAATTTTCACCCGATTTTTCAAAAACAATGTAAGTCGATATTTTTTCAATCATTTTGCAATAATAAGTCTCATAAACATAATCATAATTTACAGATTTTGAAAAATTTTGAATTTATTATAGTAAATTTAATTTGGTTAATAAAAAAAAGAAAATTGCTATCTATTTTACAATCTGAAAATTTGCTAAAAATAATAAAAAAATTTCTGTATTTATGCATATAGAACATTGAATGAAATAATTTTAATAAATCTATCGAAAAATAATTTTAAGGATATTACATTATTCCTATAAAGTTTGAATAATGTAACTTTTAATTTTTCTGCAGGATTTTAAAAAAAATGTTAATGATTTTAATTTATAAGAAAATAAAGAAATCAGTGTTAATCCTGAAATGGTAAAAACTTTTTTTAAGTAAAAAATTATGTAGGGAAAAATTTTTCATTAATCGCAACATCATGAATTTTGAAATGACATCAGACAAATCAATTTTAAAATTTTTCATATTGAAAAAGAATCCAAAGGCTGATTATTTATTATTTTAAAAAGGTGAATTGTTATTCAAAAATTGAATAGACAACAACTATTGGCTTATTTAGTTAAATGGAAATATTTTTGACAAATTTGAAATAATTACAACATGAAAAAAGATTATAAATATTCAATAATAAAAAAAGGCATAAATAATTTATTTCTTTTACATTTAATTTTAAAAAACTAAAAATAAACAATTGCAGCAAAAATATTTAAAAAAATTATTTTAAACATTTCAAAAACGCTTTAATTTTTTCTGAAAACAATATCCAGAAATTCTTAAATCTATGTTTTAAATATCCTTTTTTACAGCATTTTATGACAAAAATTATTACGATAATTATAAAATGGAAATATCAAATTTTATAAAAAATTGCACATTAAATTAAGGAAAACAATGACCATTAATATATATGTTCTATTTTGATTTCTGAATTAAAATTTAAAGATGAGGGATTCAAAATATGTTTGAAAAATATAATTTTTACTGGTTGAATATTTTTTTTTTTTTTTTTTAAATTATTCATTAATATATAACTTTTACAGATTTACAAATATTTTTATTTTTTTTTCAATTTATTAATCGATTTTTCTTTCCATTTGTTTTATTTAAGGAATTTGAAAACTAAAAATCTGTCATTGAAAATTAAAGATTATTGAAAATAAACTTTCTTCATATTTTCTCAATATTTTATAATAGGAATTTAACAACACATTGAAAGAATAAAAAATATTATTTTTTTTTTCTTAAAGTTTTTTTTTTTTCTATTTTGAAAAAATGATTTTTCTGAAAAAAAAATGAATCATTTTCATTTTTAAAATAGAAATCTTTCTTTGGATGGATTCATTTTAAAATCGATTTCTTTCAATAATTTCCAAAGAATTAAACAAATTAATGAATAGATAAATTAATAAGCAAAACATTTAAATTAAAAATTGATTTTAAAAAAATTCTTCCAGTGATTTGGCAATAGAACATTAATTTTCAAAAGAATTTTCTAAAGTTTTACTAATTAATAAAAATCGATTTCGTATTCCAGGGTTTAAAGATAATAATAATTCTTCTTTGTTTATCTTTTAAGCAAAATTTCCATTCTAAATGAAATTTTTTTTTATTAAAATTCTTTATTTTTAAAAATTTTTTTTTTTTTTTTCAAGAAGAGATTATGAAAAAATTTTTTTATTTTTTTCAATTTTTTTTCTTTCTTTTTTTTCAAAAAATTTTCTAAAATTTTCTTGATTTTCATTTTCATTTTTATTTTTTTTCAAAGAAATTTTCTCATTTTACCCAGAAATTATTTCCTTTAGCTTTCTACATTCATTCTCGCATTTTTTCTTTGTCTTTTCTTTTTTTCTTTTCTTTTTTCTGAAAATTTTTTTTTTTTTCAATTTCTTTCTCCAAAAGATTCATTTTCTTTTCATTTTTAAAACACAATATAAGTAAATAAATTTTTATCTTCTTTTAAAATTTTTTTATTTTATTTTTCTTCTTTTTTTTTTTTCATATCTTCATTTCTTTTTTTTCTTTTTTTTAAAATCTTTTTTTTTTTTCTGATTTTCTTTTTTTTTTCAGACTTTTCTTTCTTATAAAAATTTTTTTTTTCTTTTTAGAAAAAAAACTTTTCTTTTTTTTTCCATTTCTTTCTTTTTGTTCATTTTCCTAATTTTCTTTGCCTTCCATTTTGAAAAAAAATCTTTCAAAAAATAAAAGTTGGATCAATTTTGGATTTTAAGAATTTTGAAATATATTTTTTGAAATTCCGTCTTTTAAAAGAATTAATTTTAATTTGCTCCAAAAAAAATTTATTGTTAATTTTCTCTTTAAATGTCACATTTCTTTGAAAAAATTAAAATTCTTTCCCCTTTTTTTAACCCTACACCTCTTTTTTTCATTTGCATTCATTCTTTCTTTCTTTCTGCTAATTTCACCATTTGCAATGTCCCTCAATTTCAGTAATTTTTTTCACCTTCGCACCCTGACACTTTTTCAAAAATAATTGGCGCCATGTTATCAATTTCAGAATTGTTCCTTTCATCTAGTTATTCAGCCAAAAACCCTTTCATACCAACATGGCTACCGCATCTACCACAAGCCCAGGAGATTATAATAATAATAATAATAATAATAATAATAATAAAAAGAAGAAGAAAAAGAAGAAGAGCGGTATAATAATAATAACAATAATAATAATAATAACAATAATAATAATAATAATAATAAAAAGAAGAAGAAGAAAAAGAACAAGAGGAAGAAAAAAAGATTTGGAAAATTTTTTAATTTGACTTTTTAAGACAAATAATAAGCAGAAAAAAAAAAAAAAGAAGAAAAAAAGGGAAAAAAAAAAGAAAAAAGAAAAAGCAGAAGTGTCCATTTTTTGAAAAAAAAAGAAATAAGAAGAAAAAGAAGAAGAGGAAAAGAAGAAGAGGAAGAAAAAGAAGAAGAGAGAATAAGCAAAGAAAAAGAAGAAGAAAAGAAGAAGAAAAAAAAAAAAAACATCAATTCGGAAAAAGAAGAAAAAAGAAAAAAAAGAAAAAAAATAAAAAGAAATGAAGCAGAAAAAAAACGAAAAAAAAAAGAAAAAAAGAAGAAGAAGAAGAAGAAGAAGAAGAAGAAGAAAAAGAATGTATAAAGGAGAATCAGAAAAAAATGAAAAAGAAATAAAAAAAAGAAGAATATGTAAAAGAACGTAAAAGAACATTGGAAACAACAATATCCAGAATAAAATGATTTTGTAAGGTAAAAGCAAGTGATAAAAAAATTTTGAAAGACAGAGTACTACTACTACTACTACTACTACTATTACTACTAATAAAAATACTGAATAATAATAATAATAATAATAATAATAATAATAATAATAAATATTATTAATAATGATAATGATGAGAATAGTATCTGCAAAGAGGAGAGATGAAAAATTATTTCATGATGATGATGATGATGATGAACAAGTGTAGGAAGAAACAAGAACAACAAAGTCAGATGACTTCGATGATGCTGATGGTGAAAAAAAAGAAGAAAAAAAGATGATGCTCATGATTGGAACTGATGCTGTAGTTTTAATCATCATCATCGTTGTCATACGCCATTATTCGCAAAACCTAAATAGAATCGGGGTTCTTCTTCTTACGCCATCTTCATCATTCTTTTCTTCTTCTTTTTCTTTTTCCTTTCGTATACATCATCATCATCATCGTCATCATCTTCATCATCATCATCCGTCATTTGTTTTTGTCTACATTCTTTCACCGTCTTTAGCCTTCCTTCTCATCATCATATTTTTTTGTCTTATTTGCCTTCTTCCGTCAACATTATTGTTTCCATCTTGTTCGCCTTCTTTTTCATTATTCAATCATTCTCCACTTAATTTGCTGTTTCCTTTCTCTTCTTGCCTCCATCGATTCATTGTAGCCTTCCTTAACCTCTTCCTATCATTCTTTCCTTTCTCCATTCATTCATTCATTTTCTCTCGCCTTCGTTTTTTTTATACATTCATGTCCTCTTATCTTATTCTTTCTATTATTTTCTCCATCCTTCCTTCCTTCCTTCCTTCCTTCCTTCCTTCCTTTCTTTTATTCATTCATTCACTCATCTTCCCTCTCTTTCCGTCTTTTTTATTTTTCTTTCTTTCTTTTTTTCTTTCTTTCTTTCTTTCTTTCTTTCTTTCTTTCTTTCTTTCTTTCTTTCTTTCTTTTTTTTCTCCTCCATTCTCCTGTTAGCTTCCTTCTATACATCATCTTCTTCACGCCTTTATTCTTCTCTCATCTTCCTTCTTTCTCTTCTTGCTTTCCTTCCTTCTTTCCTTCCTATATTTTATTCATTCATTCATCTTCCCTCTCTTTCCGTCTTTTTTCTTTTTCTTTTATTTCCTTCCTTCCTTCCTTCCTTCCTTCCTTCCTTCCTTCCTTCCTTCCTTCCTTCCTTCCTTTCTTTCTTTCTTTCTTTTTTTCTTTTTTTTCTTTTTTTCTTTCTTTTCCTTGAAATATTCCTTCATTTTCTTTCTTTCTTTCTTTCTTTCTTTCTTTCTTCTCCATTCTCCTGTTAGCATCCTTTTACTCATTCAACCTATTATTTCCTTCAAATACGCCATCTTCCTCACGCCTTTATTCTCCTCTTATCTTCCGTCTTTCTCTTACTGCTTTCCTTCCTTCCTTCCTTCCTTTATTCATTCATTCTCTGACTTCATTCATTCATTCACACATCTTGCCTCCCTTTTCTTCATACCCCCTCTTCATTTTCCTTTTATTTCTTTTCCTTCCTTTCTCTCTTGACTTCATTTTTCTCTTATCTTCTTTCTTTCTCTTCTTCTTTGCTTCCTTCTTTTATTCATTCATTCTCTTATTTCCTTCGTTCCATCCATCCTTCCTTCCTTCTGTTATTCTATTTCTATTCAACTTCCTTTTAGTTTATAAACTTCTTTCATTTTCCATCGATTCCTTCACTTTCATCTTCTTATTTTCATCGTTTTATTTTTCTTGGCTTCGTTCATCATTTTTGTGGCTTGCTTAATTTTCTCTCCATTTTTCCATCCCTCTAATTATTATACTAATCACTAGCAACTATATTACAACCAATAACAGCAACGGTAGCTATTTGTAGTCCAATTATTATTATTATTATTATTATTATTATTGGTGTTTTATTTTCTCTCTAATCTAATTGTTAAAAGTTTCATCTTCGTCGCTTGCATTCAAGTGATTTCTGCTCGTGTATTTCCGTCTTTAATTTCAATTAAAAATCTTCACCCAGCCTACATTTAATTTTAGATTTTTTTCCCTCTCTACGTTTTTTTTTTTTTTTTTTACAAAGAAATAAAATGGACGTCACTTTATTTTTTATAGGAAGGTTTAGGCGAAAGTGGCGGGAAATAAGGGTCACGTGATTTCTCAACCGTCAACAACGTTATCGCTGTTGTTGTCGTCATAAAATGATGTTTACGACCTGATATTTTTTTATTATTATTCTTATAATTATCGCCTGATTATATCATTGCCTAATTAATATACAGTAATAGCAGGCAATACTTTATCTCAATTGAGTCGATTATGCTTCAAAAATTCTCTTCTTCCATCTTTCTTTTATACTTCTTACTCTAAAAAATCACTTTTAATTAGTTATTAAATACCAAGCCTAATAATGTATTTTTTTCCTTTCAACAACAGATAACATACAGAACACGTTGCACGTTCCAAAGTTGTCTTCATAAACACCCAATTCTTTTAAAAGACTGAAATCGAAATTTAAAATCATTTGCTTCACGATTAGATTTAAGTTCTATATTTGATATGTTAAAAATAAAAACAAATATTAGATATGTTAAAATATTTCTATATTATATATTAAAATCTTGGAGGACTTTCACATATAGCATCCCACCTGTAATGACAAAAGCACGCAGGTGTAGGGTTTTAAGAAAGCTTTATTCAACTGAGAATACAAGGTTCGCGTATAGTGTCCTTTTATAGTCCCAGTAAACAGAAATAGCTCTCTCAAAGAGGAGAGTAACAAAACAAGGGGAGACCACTCTTGATTATTGATAACACAACCATCAATAAAATACGTGCGCATGTTTTAAAATGCCTATGGATTAAAAGGTACTCTGACCTACGCAACACTCAAGTGCATGTTGTTGTTGTTGTCATTATTATTATTATTATTATTATTATTATTATTATTTTATTTCCTTTGATTTCTGGTGTGTACACATTTCTTTCCGCGTCCCGACTAGAGACCTAAGGTTAGAAATGGCATCATGACATTTTCCACTGAGTAATTTTGAAAAAAAAAAATCACATATTTGACATGGACGAAGCTCTTTAAGGCATGGTTTTCCAGGAATCCCTTTTCCAACCAATCCGAGGGCTCCAACTACAACAGTGATTGTTGATGTTCCTATGTCCTACATTTTTTAGATTTCGATGTCAAGGTCCTTGTATTATTATTATTATTATTATTATTATTATTATTATTTATAGCATGTAAGCCAACCTTCGTTTCAAAGTCTGGACCGTTAACAAAATAAAAAATAAAAACTCAGTGTGTCTCTATTTGATATTACAAAAATATCTGTTTGAAAATTTTAGTGATCCTTCACATCAAAAGACGTTAAGCTAACCTTAATAAAATTCGTTTCAATCTCGTTACGATCGTAGCTGGGATTATCTCATCCTTAAAGAATGAGATAATCCAAACCACGTGATGTTAAGATTTATTCCGTTATCACAGCATGTGAACCCGTGTTCGTTTCAGACTACGTACCGTTAATCATATAAACACTCCATTGCATTGGCTTTCTCTCAACTTCCATATTTTTCCTTGAAAATGACTGAGAATAGTCGAAAATCCTTGCTTTGAATATTGTTGCCACATCTAGTCTATATAAGAATCCGCAATATTATTGGTACTGACCTGGCATCTCAGTTTTTGTCACTTTCCCACAGCCGTAACGTATTTTCCTTGTGTCTTTCTATAAATGTTGTCACTAATTTTTCTCTATGGTCCCTAGACTTGATGAATTTAAGCGCAACACTAGATTGAAGACAAGCTCTTACCATTTTGCCGTTGAAATGGCGAGCCATAGATTCTATGCAAATAATTACTTGTATAGCACTTCTGGCTTATAGAACCCCCTACCAGCCTCTTGCATCCCAGTCAATTTTGATCTTCAAAAATTTAAATGCAATGTCAATCGTTATCGTCTGTCATCTTAATTCTCGTTCTTTTATTCTCCCCTATGCTTAATGGTGTTTTTTTCTCCTATTCTCACGCTCAAGAAGAACCCTTTTCTTTGTGGCTTTTAAACCTTGATTTGGCGTGAAATGATTAAAAAAAAAGTTTACTATTTTTCACCTGAGAACATATTTCTTATTTCATACGAGAATAAACTCACCCAAGAGCTTAACACACACACACACACACACATATACATACACACATAATTATTTTATGAACATTCCATTTTTACACATACATATATATATTAACATTCAATACACATTCACATCCAAACATATATACATATATATAGACACACTCTCACACTGACGTACAGACATAATCATATATATATATATATAATATATATATATATATATGTAAACTATAGTTAAATGTTTGAAGCCATCCCAATAATTAGCATGGAATGAACTTGAGAGAAGAGTGAAACCTTTTCATCCCAAAAACGAAAAATAGCTCATTGAAAAAAGAATGGAATCAACAAGTGCCCAAAATTTGTGCTGCAGTAATCAAGGCTAAGGGAGGATATTTTGACGGGAGCAAAATTTAATCATAAAATGCATTTTTTCTTTTGTCATAATAAAATGTTTAGTAAAAATCATGACTTACTTTATTTTTAATCATGTATAATTTTCTTTTATTTAAAGTCCAAAACAACTGCTTTTTGGGCCAATTAAAAAAACTACCGGGGGGGTCACCTCAAACTTTTAACCTGTACTTTATATATATACATTAACACGCACACACACGCATATATGTATATACCTAGAACCAGACTGACAAGATATTTTTCTTATATGCGAACAAGTTTCTTCATTTCCCCGGTTTGTTAACACCAGTGCTCACAGCGTTTTATTTAATTTTTATCTGTCTCAGCCTATTCATATCTATCTATCTATCTATCTATCTATCTATCTATCTATCTATCTATCTCATTCTCTTCATTATCTATCTATCTATCTATCTATCTATCTATCTATCTATCTATCTCATTCTCTTCATTATCTATCTATCTATCTATCTATCTATCTATCTATCTATCTATCTATCTATCTATCTATCTGTGTCATCTCTGGTTCCCTACGTTACTACATTAAACGATATTAACAAAAAGGATAACTTATATTTATGGCATTCATTTTATTAACACACACACATCGTACTAACACACACACATAATGCGAAAAATCAAACACACACAAAACACACACAATGACACACACACCCAACACACACACACAATATAAATATAGGTAAATAGCAGGGCAGACGGGGTCCTATAACATTAGGTCTAGGAGAACAACAACTCTAAATTCAAAACCTGAGGGCCTAGTATTCAGGCCAAGGGCGACCCACGCCATACTGCGTGGTTTTATGTTCTCGGTCAACCTGAAGAGGCTTTAATTTCTATCTATCTATCTATCTATCTATCTATCTATCTATCTATCTATCTATCTATCTATCTATCGTTGCGTCGTCTCTGCGTCGCCACTTTACTACATAAAAGGTATCAACTAAAAGGGTCATTTATTTTTATTATTCATTTTATTAAGAGTGGCAGCTTGGATTCTAAGAAGCAGTAGTAGGAACGACGTCACAGGAACCCATGTGTGGGAGGCATATCGACGTGTCAGAATTCTTGAGACCTTCTGTCCAATTCGCACCGTTTGGGACATATTCAGCACCCATACAAAATTTTATCCATCAAAAAAAAGAATGCTCCGTTCACGAGGCACTCCGATTTTAATTAAACCATTCTCTCCCTGGCATTTCTGTAACCTTATCTATCTATCTATAGTTTTAAGATGTTGGCATATTAACAAATATTTTCTTTGTTAATTTAATGATAATATAACACAATACATCAAATAAAATATTATAATTTAATTAGTAATAAAAATTAACAAATATTACAATTTAATTAATAATATAACATAACTTCAATATAAACCATTAAAAAATAAATAGAATAATTTATTTTTGA